TGCTGGCTTTGGATTTCCTCCTGGGTAGGAGGTCACAGCAGGCCCAGCTGAGGGCCTAGGGCTTCCAGAGATAGCTCAGGTTCATGAGGGCTGGATTTTCACCCCTGTGGGTGCCCAGCATCCTGCCATATCCCTAATGAGGGACAGCTTCAAGTACAGAAGGTACTTGGGAGAGAGTTCTCTTGCTGCCCACTGGGAAAGGTTTCTGAGCCTCTTGGATGGCTCTGGGAAGTCTGCTGGGACCCCAGCTTGGGTTTCGGGATTAGGGTAACCCGAGTACCATAAACCGCTTCAGGGACAGGATTAGGCAGGCTCAGGTCTAAGATGCTTTGCTGGGCCCCAGGGGGACACGGAGGGCTCCTCACTGCCCTCACAGCCACAGGTGTTTGGCTGGGGACCAGGGTGTGCAGGGCTCCTGGAACCCTCAAGTGGCAGGAGCAGAAACTCGAGAGTTCTTAGGGAGCTGGGCTGGACAGCAGAGACAAGGGCCTGACAGGTTGGGGCTATTCAGGGTAGATCTGCAGGAAAGCACAACAGCCTGTAGCTGCCAGGCCCAGGTCCCCAAGTCTGGAAGCCATGGTCTCTGTGGGCCACCATCAGTGTCACAGAGATAAGAAGCAACACGTATGAAATGGGCCCAAAGTTCTATCTCTTCCCCTCCAGGGCTGTCCCCAGCCCAGATAGTAGCAAGCTCAGGCAGCAGTCAATGGACCACACATGGTAGGCCATGGTGGGTGTGAGTGGGACATGACTTACCATGGTGCACAGGCAGATGCTGAGTCCTTAGCTTCTGGTGAGTAGAGGAAGGTGCAGCTTTCACTGTTATTATTTCCTGAAGACAAGTGGTATCATTCCCACGGGGTACTGGCCCTGTGGAAGCCTGTATTTGCTGTATGCCCTCGGCCCTTGGCAAACCTTCACGTATCGTGGTGGGTTCTGGAACCTGGATGATGACCCTAGCCACAAGTGTAGGGCTCAGAGATGGGCCTAAACCCTGATGCTTAGGGGCTGCTGCAAGTAGGGCTCAAGGGATACCTAACAGTGACAGTGTGAGGTCTCAGGCCTGCAGCCCTCTGCGCTCCTAGAACATCACCTTTATGAAGTCTCTTCCAGCTCTGATTAACAGTCTCTTGGCAAATCTCTGTTGAAGAATCTTCTATCCAGTCATTGCCCATGCCGAACGTTCCGGGTGCAGTTGGCCAAGCCCCAGTCAGACTGCTGCCCACTCTGGGCAGTTCCTTCCCCAGTCCATCTGAGGAGGGCACCAGGCACTGGAGCCTCTTGACCTGGCCCTATGGAAGCTGGGATGCCAGCCTGAGCTATGGGCAGGACAGAGCTGGTGTCTGCAGAGCACTGTGAAAGTCCCCACTCGACCTAGAAGCCCGGCAGAGAAGCCTGAGCCCATAGCCTTCCTAGCTGCCTTCTGCATGTGAGGCACAGCCAGCGTGCCAGTTTGTATCTCTGTTTTTTTACTTATGCCGCTGCCTGGCACAGGAAGGGTGTAGGGCAGCTCCCAGGGCCATGCAGCATTCAGCCAGAGAGCCCAGATCTAAGAAGGTGGCAGAGGAAGGAAAAACCATGACTGGGGCATAAAATGCCACCACTGCAGGCCTGTCTGGTTCTGGACTTGTGCTAACACCAGTACCAGAAGGAACCATTTGGAAAGGAGAAGTCAGGGAGGCAGAAGAGACAGCTCCAGTGCAGCAGAGACCCGTTTTCAGCCTCAGCTCTGCAGACAGGGGTCTTCTGTGGTGGGGGCTCACCAGGGCGGCACAAGGCTGCTGCCTGAGGGTCAGTGAAAGGCCAGAGAGCAGGGTCTAGAAACCTATCAGCAGCCAGCCACATCCCCATGAAAGCAGAAGATGAAACTAAGGGCCAGGGCCTTAGGTGGACAGGCAGTGGGGTCCCTGGCAGCATGGGGCTAAGGACTGGCAGGGCCCAGGCTTATAGGTGGCTCTCTTTGGAGCTCCCCTGATTTGAACAGCCCCTGGTGGTAAGATACTTGTTCTGGAGAGGGGGCCAGTATCTCCACCCTAGGCTGGATTGGGCTGAAGTCTCATGTCCGGCAGGAGGTCCACAGCCTATAAATTTGAGACCAGGAGAAAACATCTGCCTCTGAGGCCAGGGGTCAGGGTGTACCCCACAAGAGCCAGACCTGATTCAGGTCCCACCTGGGTGGAGAATCCATTCACAGATGCTTCTGAATGCATCAGAGCCCGTGGAGCAACGTGCTTTGGCTCTAGTGGGTCTTGGTGCTCGGGTCTGGGTGCCTGCTGGAGCTACAAGGGCCACTCCTCAGTGTCCAGTGCCCACCTGCGGGCCTCAGGTGCCAGCCACTGCTGCTTCCTGCTTGCTGGGTAGAAGATTAACTCCCTCCCCATGTCTGACAGTGACCAGCCCTCAGTGTCCCCAGGCAGAACCAAAGATGGGGTGATCAGGAAGGATAGGGCACCCAGGGGCCCTGGGTAGGGAGTAGTAGCTCCTATAAGGAAACAGGCGAGCCCAGGGAGGCAGGAAGAGCGCACCTGCCACCCCAGGACAGGCACAAACATACCTCTTACATGGGCAGAGTCCTGACCGGAGGGTTAGGCATTTAGAGTCTGAATGGCGGGGGAGGGTTTGGTGAAGTGGCCTTGTAGTCCCAGGTCTCTTGCGATGCCTTAGCCTCCTGGACAAGACCCCTTCTTGCCATCTCAGACTCACTTGCAAGGGCCCTTGGTGGGAGCACCAATGTCTCTTCCACAGCCAGGAAAGAATGACCAGGACCACACCCTCTGCTGCCCACTGAGTGAAGCTAGAGGCCAACAGGGCTGCAGAATGCTCCAAGTAGTGGGGGCTACAGTCTGAGCACCTTAACTGTCATCGTGAGCTCACGACTTCCTGCTGCCCCCCTCCTCAGAGTCCTGCTGAGTCTATCCTCCACTGCTGCATTGCAGGCCCGCCCTCACAACTGCTTGTCTTCCTCCTCTGCATGCTACCTCCAGGGGTCACAGGACATCAGGAGGGGGGTCCAGAGGAGGGAAAAGACATGGCGTAGTGGGAGGGTGATGGGTAACCCTGCCCCACCTCCTAGGTGAGTAAGGTAGAGGGGGCAGCTTGGCCTACAGCACAACCCTCCACTCCTTGCCAGCTCCTCTCCCTCCCACATCCTTGCGCAATCCAGCGCCACAAGAAGTGTGCAAGACATTGCCGGGGGTAATTGTAGGTTACACGAATAATCTGAGGAATTAAAATCATATTTTCATTACACCATAAAAACATGCAAAGGCGGCAAGGAGGCGGCTCTGGGACCAGGGGAGCACCTGGCGCTCTAGCCCCTCCTTAGTTGCCCTGGGAGGAGGGGACTGGACAGGGGCAGGCTCAGAGAGGGGGTTGGGCATGCAGTGAGCCTGGAGCCAGGGCAGTAGGGACACCCAGGACAGACGCCATCACCTACACAGCACATCCATCCTCCCTGACTGTGGCCCTGCCATGTTCTCAGGGCCCCAGAGCCTGGGTGAGAGGCCCAGGGATCCTACTGGCCTGTGCATATTGGCCTGTTGGGGTCCTCCCGTACCTGCCCTGGCTCCACAGCTGCCTGAGGGCTTTGGGCTCATGTCCCACCATAGCAATGAGGTATCTATTCTTGGGCAAGGGACCCCATAGCCAAACCAGTGTGTGCTGCTCCAGCACCCAGCCCCAAAGGTAGCCCAGGTGACGGCAGTCCCCGGGCTCTTTGTGGTGGACCTCCCTCTGCAACACCTGGGACCTGCGGCTGTCTGGAACACGGGCTGTGGATATCTGGGCCCCTCCTAGATGTGGCACAAACAGTACAGGGACAGCAGAAGTCACAGGGGGCAGATGCACTGGTGTAAGATCTGTTCTAGGGGGAGGGGCGCGTGGAGGGGCTGTGGGGACATGGATATGTGAGCGGCACTCTGGCTGCCAGTAGTGGGGTGGGGGCTCAGCCCAGAGGGCCACCTAGTATGCACTGAGGCCCCACACAAGCTGCATCATTTCTATCACCACAAAGAGCACCAAGGCCATTTCCAGTTCCTTGTTCGCCCCCAGGCAAAGACTGTTCCCAGGACTGAGGAATCTATGGGATCCCTCCAGGGCTGGATCCCAGAGGGCCCCTGCTGGCCCCAGGCAGCAGGTGGTAAGTGACCCTTTTGCCTCCAAGGCAGACAAAACGGTCAGGCTGGAGGCAAACCCTCCCTACAGGATCCTTGGCTGGCTGGGGTGTGCCACCAGCCGTGCGTTAAATGGGACACGGCTGATCTGGCTCTGCACTTGTCAGGAGGGCTGGGCCCAGCCCAGCACTTGGCATCTTAATTGGGCGTCTGAGAGCTCCTGCACACGCTTCACACCTTGAGCCAAGCTCCCATAGGCCCATTAGGGTGCAAACACATTCCTTTGTTCGCTGACAAGCAGGGTCCCATCCAGGGCGCCCGGGCCGGCAGACTAAGTGATGTTTTCTTAAGGAAGACACGGGATTAGCCGCAGCAAAAGCCTCAGCACAATGCCGAGCCCTACCTGCTGCTGTCAGTGCTGTCTCTGTACAGTGACTGACAGGCGCTCCCTCAGCCCATCAAGCCTCAATATGCAGGATTAGCTACAGTGCAGCCAAGGAGCTGACTTGGAGGACCATTTCACAATGGAAACGTAGTGAGGTGACTGACGTTTGGGGACAGAGAGCTTCAAATGCTCCTGCCAGTGGCTCCTGGGAGATGGGCCACCCTTCTTGCTTCAAGATGTAGAGATTTCAGCAGTGATCTGTACACAGGCTTCTGGGGCCCAAGTAGGGTCTTCTGGCCTGAGGCCAGGCAGCTGTATGGGAAGGGGGTGGGGGGGTCAGTTCATCCTGCTTGGAGTGGAAAGGGACAGGGTCTGCCCCTCCCACCCACCAGCAGGTCTTAGAAGCTGCTCCCATTCTACAAGATTGCTTGCAGGCTGGCCAGGCCCTGCCCTGCATGGGCAATCCTAGGGCTGCACTGGAAACGCCATGGGCAGAACACACATTAGGAAAACACCCTCTTTATTTGCACTCCAGAAATGCCAGGGAGTTCAGACATGGACAGCCCACGAGGTGGGTTTCTGCCCAGGCCATCATCATCTGGCACTGGGGACTTGGGGGGCCTGGCCCAGGCAAAAGAGGGGAGAGGGTGCAGATATGGGGCTGACAGCCCCTGGAACCATCCCAGCAGGGCACACAGGTCAGCAGTGCAGTCACGCCACTCCATTCGACATCTTCCAGGCTCTCCAGGAAGAGGCCACGGCTCACCAGACCTGGCCTTCCGGTCCTGTGAATGAGGCAGAGGGTCAGCACAGGTCACCCCTCACATTGCTGCCATGTCTCCCACAGTCACACAGGGGACCCTCAAAGGATGGATGGGAGCCAAACCCCTGAAGACAGTGATCCTACCCTGCCCCAAGATCAGCGTATTCACAGGGAACACTGCAGTGCTCCACTAATATTTTGAAATCATAAAAAAATTATACCTGCTTCTTAACAAAATAGCTCTACAATAAAATATTCCGATAAGAGTTCCCTCAGGATGCGTTTTGTTTGTCTGTATCAAAGGCAGCAATAGGTCTGAAGGCCATGGTGGAGCCAAATGCCAGAACGCCTGGTTGAGGACCCAGCCTAGATCTACAGGCAGCCACTTCATGGACCCCCACGTCTGCGTGAGCGGAGCTTACTGCTCTGTCCACAGCCTCCATCTTGAGAAGAGAGAGGGGTCTCAAAGGACCCCAGCCCCAGAAGAGGTTGACAGTGATGAGCGACCTTTGAGGGTAGGCTACCCTGTGTAGGCCTGAGGAGGCTGAGTCTGACTGAGGGGACAGGGCTCTGGCCACATGCACGCCTTTGGCAGCAGCCAGGGAGCCACTTGCTAATTTCTTCCTCAGAAGGGGACTGCGATGAACATAGTGGAGACTTCAGCCTCCTGCTCTGCCAGTGGCTTTGCAAAGCTGTAACAGCAGCAGAAGTGCAGGGCGGTGGCAGGCCATGCACGAGGCAGCGTCTCCACCTTCTGGGCAAGAGAGAAATAAGTCAGCGCCGGTACTCTGCAAGGCCAGGAGCGGGAGGGCCGCTTTCTAGCTGCAGGCTCCAGGAAGCACTAAGCTGAGACCGCCCAGGGAGGGCTGTGGGTGTGAGCCCAACCTTGGCACCTCCTCGCACACAGGGAGCAGCAATGGCCAGGCAGGGATCTTGGGATGTCCTTTAGAGGGCAGGGCCTTTGGTGGCCTCAGCTTCTGGACCTGAGGACAAAGCTTACTTGCTGAAGGTAGCGATGGTAGGTGCAGCCTCGCCAAGCCCCTGGCAGAAGCCCTTCACAGTAACTCCCCTAAGCCCAGCTAGCCACGTGCTGTACCCTGAAAACCTGTGTACCTGGATTCGGGCCTCTGTGAAGACTGGCGGTAGGCGTGGCACACTGTGTACCCTTAGCCTTGCAGGGATGGCGGCTTAACCTCAGCAACCGGTCACTGTAGGGTCCAGGCCTGAGCGCTTAGAGATACGCAACTTGACTACCTCCTCGGAGCAGGTGGGGTGGATACCTACCGTCCGCATCACCTGTGCATAGGAGGCCCCACACCTACACACGGGATTGGGGAGACAGGCAAGGAGTCAGCATATTACCCAAGCCCTGGGAAGGCCTTAGAAGGCACACAGGCTCCTCCCTGTCCCCATGCCTTTTTTTAGCCTATGTTACACCTGTCCACCACCCTCTCAGCAAATGCCCAGAGCCTACAGAGGCCCACCTCCCATTCAACCTTCCTTGCTTGCTCTGGCCGGGCCTCCTGCCACTCTAACGCTACCAGACATAGTCGCACTGGTCCCTCCTCAAAGCCTGCCCCCTTACTCCCTGAGGTGTGGCTCAAATCACCCGCCCAGTGAGCCAGAGCCCACTTCTTACTACTGCAGCTTGCACTCGCCCTGCCCTGCCCAGCCTTCTACTCAGACCTTGCTCACTTGGAGGCCTGACACTGTGCTCGCAGCACCTGCTGCAGGCGGCAGGGAGCCTCCTGCTCTGTGGGTGGCTGTGCTCTAATCCTGGTTTATTTTTATTTCCTGTGAACTACCCATTTATGTTCAGTATTTTTTTTAGATTGTTCACTCTATAATTATTATTAATTTATAGGAGCTTTTGCATATTAAGGAAACCAACCCTTTGCAATTACATTATGAAAAGAGGCTGTCACGATTTTTTTTTTTTTTTTTTTGAGGCTGTCACAATTTAAAGGATTCTCTAGAAATCATTCCAAAAACTAAGTATTGGTCTGGGCAACAGCATCTGCATGCCAGCGCACATAGTTGGCCATCGTTTCATGAGAGAGGGTCAGGCTTGTCCCTGTCCCCTGCTAGCCCCAGAAATCTTCCTGAAGTCCAAAGCTGGTGCTGTGGATGGTAGCCTACCATCGCTTACACAGGGCCCCTGGGCCAGGCTCCCAGGGTCACCCACAGCCTCTCTATCTGTGCCTGCAGGAGGCCCATCCCCACAGGCTCCAGCAGGACTCTGGGCAGAGACTACAGTGGACTTATACGGTTCCACTCACTGGTCACTCTGGACTGAACTTCCAAATGACAGCCTTGCCACAGACAGCTCTGCAGTTTAGAGACCAGACATATGTCCAGGACACAAACCCACGTTGGACCCAGACCTCCCCATTAACCTCTGAGTCTCACCTGGAAAAATGTGCTCCCCATAACCCAGCCATTGCCCTAGCACATGTGTGCAGGACTATGTGGGCCCGAGGCTTGCTGTGCCATGATACAGATGACTTCATCCATGGTTCCACGCTGCCCAGTGGGGAGGACTGCGTTCCCCAGAGAACTGACCCAGACCCTCCACCTTGCCTGCAGACAGCACCTCATCATACAGGTACTGCTCCTCTACCCTGGTCCTCTCCCTTCCCTTTCCTGTCCCCAGACCCCTTTACCCCCAAGAAGGCTCTTGGTCATACTCACATGCCCCAGCACACTGGGGACCCCAGCTGTCTACATGCCTTCCTCCTCATGTAAGCCCCTTCCTGCGTCCTCTCTGCTTTGTCCACAGCTTGTCCCTGCATGACCCTTCTGCCTCTGATGTGCCGGGCCCAGTCTCCTTTCCAAGATGCCATACATGACCTCCTAGCCTCCAACTCCCCAGAAAACCCACCCTACCCAGAGCCATCTCATGGCCCCCATAGGCCTGGAGGGCTAGGGTGTGACTCAGCAATACAGCACTGACCTAGCATGCAGGCCTTGGATTCCACTCCTAGCACCACAAACGGACAGAACCCACACAGCCATAGCCGAGGACCCAGGCAATAGCCCAAGCTCCAGAAAATGCTCTGTGGCTCTGAGTGACTCTTTCCTCATACATCTGAGACTGAGGTCTTGCTCAAGACAGTGCTGGTGAGTGAGGAACCAACCCTCATTCTGACCATGTAGAAGAGACCCAAACATGGGTCTATGACCCAGGGCCATAGTGATCCCCCAGGAGGCAGCCAGGCTGCATGGCTCTGGCTTGAGCCTGTGTGGCTGGAGAAGAAAGCCTTCTCCTTCACACTGAAGCTGCCACATCAAGGAGAGCCTGATGAATCCCTGCACCAAACATGCTCAAGGCCACAGCGGCCTTCCGCTGCAGTGCTGCCAGCCCTTGGAGGGACAACAGCCGAACATCGCAGAACAGCCCACATTCCTGCAGACTTACTTGATCCCCAGAGCGAATCCTTGAGTAACTTCGCCGGCGTTGGGACCGAGGAAATGCAGGCCCAGCACCAGCTGTGGGGGCTCCCTCAGGCACACCATCTGAAAGCCACAGAGTCTCAGCCAGAGCCCAGCCACAGGGGACCCAGCCGTGACCCACCTCTGTGGCCTTGGCCTGTGGGCAGGAGTGGCCCTTGGATGTTCACCATGCTGTGCTCTGGGACAGCACAGAACTCCCCACCCATGCTGCTGACTCCTTCCCCCTTTCCTCTCTCCCCTGGCATACCTCACCATGGGCCCCAGGACACTCACCTTTATGTAACACTGGGATGCATCCTTTTCAGCCACTGTGAACTCCAGAGGTTTATAATATGCATGATAAACCTGGTTGATAAAACACCAATTCCTAGAATGGTGACCACAGCAAAGCCAGTCCTGTGGGCATTTTATAGCTCTAACAGAAATGGTACAGGGAGGCTAGGCCTTCTCAGGGTGGCCAGAACGTATTGTCTGGGGCAAGGACACAGCTCAGCCACTGCAGAGAGTGTCTTCCTCTCCCATGCACAGGCGACCAGTATCTTGAGCTACAGAGTCTGCAGGACAGGCCTTCTCCTGCCGTGAACTGCAGCAAGACAGTGGGTACCAGGATGCCCAATGTGTCACATAACTGCCATGATGTGTCACAGGGCCTATAGCTTGGGCCAAGGCAATGGAGCAGCCCCTGAGGGGTGTATGTGGGGTAGACACAGGCCCCTGTGACCACTGCAGGCTGAACAGGGTGATCACAGGCTGCGATCTGTGTGGGGGCGGCCCAGCCCACCCATGTGGGCAAGAATAGGCTGGGGGCAGCTGTCCAGCCTCCCTTAGGCACCTCAGCATTGGCTTGGTCCTACGTTCAGGGAGGAGGAGGAGGAGGTGGGGGCTGGCGCAGGGTGACCAAGGGGCAGGGCAGGCACTGGCCACACTGGAGCTGTTGGACAAGGGTTTTCAGCACCCATGGAGGGCTTGACGGAGCATTTGGGGCTGTGGCTGGGTTAAAAAATGAGCAGGGCCCTCACATGTGCTGTACAGCCATTATTAATTAATAGACCTTCAGAGAATATTGTTCTAAGCAAGACAGATCTAAAAAGAAAACAAACAAAGGGTATTTGGCCATTCAACAATGTGAAACATAAAACATTATAAATGCCATGAACACATGTCCCAGGGTACTTATGATGAATCAAACAAAAATAGCAAATAAAGTGCTACAGGGAAGGCTAGCCTGTCAGGCCTGTCCCAGTGATGGAAGGGCTTGAGGTACAGGGGAAAGGGCAGGCCCTGGAGCCCAGTGACTCATCCCCAAAGGGCACAGGCTCCCCTGCCCAGGCTGCATGGAGTCTGTTTTCCCCCACCACCTGCAAGCTGCTCTAGCAGGAAGATGAAACCGCACCAAAGGCTTCCCATGTCTACAGCAGGATGGGTTTTAAAGTCTCTTGGCTTCCCTTTAGGCCACTTGAGTACAGTCTGTCACCACCTGAGGGCAGTGGCCTGCTTACCTGGGGCCAACCCCCAAAAAGCAACCTTGCCCAATAAAAGCCCCCTTCCTTGGGGTAAATGCCATCCCTGCTTACAAGGACCAGGAGAATTTGGGAAGAAGACGGGAGCTCAGATTGGGGCAGGGCGTCAGCAGTGCCCGCTGGAGTCCCCAGGGGTGTCCCAGAAAGGTAGAGTTTCCATAGGAGAGGATGAGCCAATGGGAACAGGGGGTGGGGGTGAGGGGTGGGTGGCAGGCAGAATTCAGAGGACACCAAGAGGAGCCATTCCGGGTTGAAAGAGACATGCTCCTGTGAGTGCGGAGAGCCACGGAGGCATCCTGGGGCTTCTGAGACAAGCACTCTGCACGTGGGGCGGGCTGGTGTTTGCATGCCTTAAGACTCTGGCAGGAAAGTGACAGTACCATGACGATACTTACTGGGCACGCCTATAGCATAGCTGGGGCTGGGATTGGAGCTGCTGGACCTTGGGGCCTCGGAATGAGGTGGCCAGGGATCGTCCTTAGTCATGACATGGGCAGCAGGCAGGTAGCCACTGAGGCCGGAGGAACCAAGGCTCAGCCACACACCAAAACTGCCAGAGGCCTCTGCTTCTCTCATTTCTAAAAACTGCCCTCCAATGCACTTGTCCTGTGTGTCTCTTCCCACTGCACCAAGGCCATTTTCCCAGGCCCCTATACCCTGCCCTGCCAAACTGCAGCCCTAGGGAAGCAGGGACACAGACATCCCCGTTCACAGGACCTCCATCTAGGGAGGGCCATCCACAGGCCACACAGGCCACACAGGCACCATGATCTTCTGACCCTACCTCAATATTCTCCTGCCCATGGCGGGCCACAGCTTGTTCCTCTGACAGCCCCACGCAGCCGTACTCCAGTGGAGTGAACACAGTCGTGGGAACCTAGAAGCAGGCCCAGAATCAGATATGCCTCTCTGGCCCCACAAATGAGAAAAGTCCCTGTTGCAGGGTACCAAGAGCCCTGGTCATAGGCCAGGGCCCAGCCATGCTGCTCCTGGGCTGGACTCTGAGAGCCACACCATACATACCTGCTTATACACATACCTGCACATGCACATACCTGCAGACACATGCACAGGTGCACAAAACACTCACATACACCTCCACATGCAAGATACACACACACAAACACACAGGTGCACACACAGACCCTCCCTGCAAGGACAGCCAGCCTCAGCCTCTTCCAAGAGAGATGCGGGGTCCTGTAAGAGAACTTACATTGTTATAATCCATCAGGTCTGAGGACTGCCCAAAGAGCCGCTGGGCCAGGAGCCTTCCTGCCATGATGGCCGTGGGTGTCAGCTCAGGTCGCCCCTGATGGAAGGAAGTAGGGGTTACCTTAGCACATGTCCAAGGAGCCAGTGCAAACCCTCACCACCACTCATCACCTTCCTAGTAGGCAGCACCTTACTGAAAACCCCAAACACTATGCAGAGCTGTGTCCCAGCAGAAAACTTTCCCCACTCAAGGGCAATTCTTCCAAGGTGAGAAGTACAGCATCCCAGGGCCCTCAGGGCTGGCCTCACCCAACCCTGCTCTGGGGAGATGCCTGTAGTTCTGACTCCCTTTTTTGAAAGACAAAATGAGCTGCCAATGACTTCAGCCCTGTCACCTCACTCACTCAAAGCTTCTCTCGCAACCTCTTTCTCATGTTGATGAATTTAAGAGGGCTGTCCCCACTACAAAGCTCAGAAGGGATCCTTGCTACCTTTCCCACTTACTGGGATTCTGGTTAAAACAGGCCCAGGCATTTCATGTCCTCCTGACACAGCTTGAAGTGGGTATCATAGCCCATGACAAATCCCAAATCGCAGTGTCATTCTGTGGGAGACCCTTCCATCCCAGCATGCACCCTGCCTCAAGTGTTCCTGCACACATCTCCTGGGACCAGCTGCCAATCACCTCTGCAACAGGAAATGCAGATGTTGTTTGGCATTCCAGAAATGAACAGAGATCTGCAGAGATAATTTGGGGAAGCGGTCTGCACATTCCACCAGGCCTAACTGCGGAAACCACCATGTACACGGCACACAATATCTCATTAAACAATGGCCCCTGACCCCTCGCCCCCACCCCCGGTTCTTCCCAGGCCCTAGCCCGACAATGTATGTTAACTCTGCACTGCTCAGAAGGACTTTTCTAACTGTGTGGATTTCATTTTTTGTTTTTTGAAATAAAGAATGCTTCTGTGTGCCAAATATTTCTGAAATATGGCCACAGTCTGAAATATTACCATTTCTACCAGGCTGTTGGGAGCCCTGGAGCCTGAAGGCTGTACATTTGCACAGCTGAGAGAACTTCATCTGATGGGTATGAAGGAGGTTTCCTAGGTGCGCAGAGATGTACATGGTGCGCTGCTGGCAAGACATGCATTCTCTTTTAAGGTATGGCACTCACAATATAACGAATGACTATGGCCAGGGGCCACCATGTGTAAACTGATCACAGGCAGAGGCCAGCCAACTGCACTTGCCCAGCTAAGTGGCTGGTGGCATAGGACAGTCAAGGTGTGAAGCCATCACTGGGGGGTGGGGAGAAAGAGTCATACACAACCCAGCAGGACAGGGTCCAGGCTCTGTCCCCATCGTCCTCTCGGCATCTTGGAACTGCTGCGGGGGAGGCGGAATCTGGCAGGTATGAGTGCCCGAGTCCCACGCCCTGCACACCTCTTCCTGAGCCTGGTATAGGGTCCTGATGGTACCTGAGTGGTGACCAATGCCTCATATGTGCACACTGGCCACAGCCAATGGGTGGCCCTCTAGTACACAGGGGCTGTGCTACCCCAGTAAGAGGGGTCCTTGTGGGCCCTGGTGTCTGTGGGGCTGACTCATGCCACAAAGGCCATCTGGCCCCAGGGAAGCAAAGGGAAGACCTAGCCCTGCACAGCCCTCTGCCCTGGCCTGTTTCCATGGGTGGCCAAGCTTTCCCCTAGCCTGGTGTGATCCTCCAGAGCCAGACAGGAGGCCTAAGGGCAGGACAGTCCCTCAGCACAGGTGACATCAGTTGCTCCTGCCATGCAGCCACTTGCTGGCCTTGGACACTGGCTCCCACTCACCCTAGGTCCCTCCTGGCATTTCTCAAAGTGGGTTCCAGGGCAAACCAGGTAAACCAGGGCAGCATAGTTTCCACTCTCCTGAGACACAACTGTCTTTGATGAGGCTGCTGTATGTCCTGAGACTGAAATAGCTCTGGGACTCACTGTCCTCTGTGACCCCTAGCAAGAGGCACCTCCACGTGGGTGAGGATTGGTTCCTGCAGTTTCCCTGGTCCTTAGAAAGTGCTGGTCCCCGTACATGCTCAAATAATATTTGCTGGGTGAATGGACATTACCACAATGGGGCAGGCTCAAGGATGTCCTTGAAAAAGTCATGTCCACCTGGAATCTCAGGAAGTGGCCTTATTGAAAATATGGTTTTGGGGCTGGGGATTTAGCTCAGCGGCACAGTGCCTGCCTGGCAAGCGCAAGGTCGTGAGTTTGATTCCCAGTACCGGAAAAAAACAAAACAAACAAACAAAAAAAGAAGAAAATATGGTTTTTGCAAATATCATTAAGGTTGTAGTGGATGTAGGGTGATGAAAGACAAAGTGTCAGAGACAAATAAGGGCACAAAGACACACAGGGAGACAGTCATGTGATAACAGGACAGAGACAAGGGATGTAGCTACGATCTGAGGAATGTCTGGGGCCACCAAAACTGGAGGGAGCCAGGTGTGGTGGTACACACCTATAATCCCAGCACTCAGAGGCTAAGGCAGGAGGATCACCGGGAGTTTGAGACCAGCCTGAGCTACACAGTGAGTTCAAGGCCAGCCTGTACTACAAAGCGAGACCCTGACTCAAAAAGCAAAAAACAAACAAACAAGAAAAGAGGAAGAGCCAGGAAGGAGGCTCCTATAGAGGGCCTTAAGGGAGTGGAGCCCTGCCCACACCTTGAGTTCAGATTTCTTGCTCCGCATAAGGTGAGAGAATAAGTTTCTATTATTGTAAGTTTGTTGTTATTTGTCATGGTAGCCCCAGGACACAAACACACAGACGACAAGGGCAGGTCTCACCACAAAGTGACAACAGAGCCTGAGGCCACAGGGAGCACTTCAAGTCACCCTCCTCAGAATGTGCTAGAAACATGCAGGACAGGCCACTTCTTCCTGAGGTTGTGGGGTCCACGCGCTCAGGTCTCCATGAAGGACAGGGATGAGGACCGGATGCCCGCTACGCAGAGCAGAACATGCAGGAGCAGCCACTAGGGCCTCACTTGGGGGTGCTCTGGCCCCCAGTGTCGGGGGCGTAAGAACAACAGGGAAACGGCTGCAGTCGCAGGCCCAGAGGGTGGGGCAGGCTGCAGAGTCTTTGTGCCATTCCCAGGTTGAGCCCCCAACCCAGGAAAGGTGGCAACTGCTCCCCACTCCACAGCAGCACAGACAGCAGAGGCCCTGTCCCATGGGCAGCCTCCTCAGGGAAGGAGCTGAGCCTGCCTGCAGCTCATAGGGTAAAGTGAGGTGAGGAGGGCAGCATGGGGGTGGGGGACTGTTCCTTCTCCCCTGTGGGGACAGGATGATGCTGAGGCTGGCCCAGTAATGGCATTTAATTGCGCTTACAACCATTTTTGTTTTCTTTTGTTTTTTGTTTTTTTGTTTTGTTTTTGTTTTTTCTTCCAGTACCAGGAATCAAACTCACGACCTTGCGCTTGCCAGGCAGGCGCTTTGCCGCTAAGCTAAATCCCCAGCCTCTTTTGTTTTTTTAAGACAGGGTCTTGCGAGGCAGTTCAGGCTGTCCTTAAACTCACTATATAGGCCAGGTTAGCCTCAAACTCATGGTGATCCTCCTGCCTCTGCCTCCCATGCTGGGATTACAGGTGTGTGCCACCATGCCCGGCACTTACAACCATTTTTAAAGCTGTTTCATATCAACCGTCTATAGAAAGGAAAGGAATCTGAAAGAGCAGTGTGTTGCCCAATCCTTCCCAGAATGTACCCTACCAGTCCTTGGGGTCCAGCTCAGCACCTCTGTGTTTGCAGAAAGAAGAATCTCTCTCCACAGGGCATGTGCTCCCCCAGGCCTGGCTGGGGCAGGTGAGTGGTGGGCTGAGGTAAACAGTCCTGGCCACCAGGGCTGGCCAGGCTGGTACCAGCTGTACCTCAGCAACATCTCCAATAGCGTAGATGTGGGGGACAGAGGTGGCCTCCTGGGAGTCCACGAGAATCTTCTGATTCTTGGGATTGGTATTCACTCCTGCCTTCTCTAGGTTGAGACTCCTGGTTTCTGGGACTCGACCTAAAGGAAAGACAGAGACAGTTGACAGTTTCTTCAGTGGTTTGAGCTACGTTCCTTTCATTTAATACCATGCTCTCACCAACTGAGTTAACAGGCCAGCCAACGGTTCCTCTCACCTAAAACATTTAAAGCTTATTTACGTCCTTTCAACCTGGGCATGGTGGTATATGCCTGTAATTCCATCAGTCAGGGAGGCTGAGGCAAGATGGCAAGTTCAAGCTCATCCTGGGCAACTTAGTGAGACCCCCATCTCAAAATGTAAAAAAAAATTTAAAAAGATGAAGATGAAGCTCAGAACTGGGCGTGGTGGTGCATGCCTGTAATCCCAGCACTCGGGAGGCTGAGGCAGGAGGATCGCTGTGAGTTTGAGGCCAGCCAGGGCTACAAAGTAAGCTCAGGGTCAGCCTGAACTGAAGAGCGAGACCCTGTCTGAAAAAGATCAAAAAAAAAAAAGATGAAGCTCAGTATGCAGGCCCTGAGTTTAATCCCTAATATGGAAAAATATCTTGAATTCATGGGTATTGGCACATGCTTGTAGTTTTAGCTACTCAGGATGCTGAGGCAGGAGGACCATTTGAGAGCCCTGGAGTTCAAGGCCAGCTTGGGTAACATAGGGAAACCGAGATTCAAGAAAACAAGATTGAAATAGTTCTCAGAACGGCCACTTAGAAGCAGTCAAAAGGTGAAGCACAGATGGTGCTGGGGGCTCCTAGCCTCTGCAGGTAGCAGCCTTGCCTTGGAGGAGAGGTGGAAGGTATCTGCAACGAACATTTACCAACTGACACAACTAGCACACTGATGCTTACAGTGGTGGGCTGGCACTCAGTGAAGAAGAAATACTTCTTAGGCACTGCTTTCTGGCACATGGGGAAGGAACAGCCAACACAGCTGCTGCCCAACATCAGAGTGCTGGGCACAGGACTCTAGCAGTCTCTGTGGGTGCAGGCCCAGCCGCACCATAAACACCAGCATTAGTGGCGCTGGTACTGATTTCATCCAGAGAGACCTGCCCTTCCTTGGCGCATGGAATGGTGCTATTGGCACTTGGTGCTCTGTCCTCAATGTGCCCTGCACACCACAGCCCGACACCATCAGGCAATGAGCACCACAGACGCAGGCCTCCCCTGAGGGACATCTGCTGGCTCCTGATGGCCCCCTCCCCATCTGTACAGGCTGAGGTAGAGCCCACCAAGCCCTAGGCTATACTCAAGCTGATGTCGGTCCCAGGGTTTGACTCCCCACCCAAGTAGATCCCGTGGGTCTCTTTCTATGAGGGTGCATGCAGGATCTCATGGACCCAGGCAGCAGGGCCAGCAGTGGCCACCATTCCAGGCAGGGCCTAGCCCAGCCAACTGGATAACACTGACTGCAGGCACCCCTGGTCATATGTCTCACCTCTTATATGCCCTCTGTCCACAGATGACACTCTTTCATTCCCGTAGTTTTATTTTTATTTATTTATTTATTTATTTATTTATTTATTTATTATCTTTTTGAGACAGGGTCTCGCTATACAGTTTTGGCTGGCCTTGAGCTCACTATGTAGCCCAGGCTGGCCTCGAACTTGCAACGATCCTCCTGCCTCAGCCTTCCAAGTGCTGGGATTACAGAGGTGCACCACCACACCCCGCATTCCTGTGGTTTTAATGTGAGGGGGTTATCTATTATCTTTTTTTTCTGACAATGCAGAGGAGGGCGGTCCCCAGAGCCCCTGGTGGGGCTACAGGTGACACCCAAGGGACCAAGACCATCATGAATCCAGCAAGATATTGCACAGCTGTCTCTCTGCCAGCTAGGGTGAGGCCTTGGGAAATTCATGAGCCAGCCTGGACATTGAAGCCCTTTGCTGACCACAGTCACCCTCCTCAGTGCTGGGCCCTGGTCACCCAGCCTGTCCGCTTGGTTCCTTCCCTCCCTGCCAGGCCTCCTCAGGCTCTGGCCCACACCCATGCTGCAGGCCCTAAACATGAACTGTCTCCTGGCCTTGGGCCCCGAGCTCTGCTGGACTCTCAGCTTGGTGCATTCACTGCTTTGGACTGCTGTGTGCCACAGAGCCAATGCCTCCTGCCATCCATGCACAAGAAGACACAGAGAGCCCTCCTTTCTCTGTGAGCTGCAGTGTCTTCATCTACAAAACGGGCCAATGTGGGACCCAGACAAGACAAAGCATCAGGCTCCCAGGGAGACTCCCTGCACCTGTCTCACAGGTCACAGGGCTCTGAAAGACACAAGCCTACAAGCAAAGCCTACTCCTCTGGCTGAAGTTCAGCACAGGGACTCCCTATCCTAACTCGAGGGGGCTTTGGGGTGGAGTAGGACAGGTGGGCAGAGAATGTGTGGTGCATGCTGCCCTCCTGTGAGGATGGGGAAATGTACGTGTGAACACACATGTACATACATTCACAAAAGGAATCAATAAAAAGACAAAAGTGGTGTCCTATAGAAAAAGGAGAGAATAGGACATAAGGACAGAGGTGCAAACAAGACAGCTCAAACAAATCTGTGACTTTTTGGTTTGCTATACATGGTTTATATATTCAAAAAATAAAATTAGATTAACATAGGGAACAATTCCTAGAGATGTAAACAGCCTAGAACAAGTGAACCTAACTGCATATGAGGTTGAAGATAGACCACACAGAAAGATCATTACAGTTCTCCCTTAGCATCCTCAGTGGAGCAATTACAGGACCCCTTTGCCCTGCCAGGGCATCAAAATCCACAACTGCCTTGTACAAAATGGCAGAGTATTTGCATACAACCTACCAATGTCCTCTAATATACTTTAAATCATATCTAATTTACTTATAATGCAGAATACAAAATGCTAGCTAAATAGTTGTTGCACTGTATTAAGGAATAATGTTTTTTTTTTCTTTGTCTTTTTGAGACAAGGTCTCACCATGCAGTTCAGGCTGGCCTTGAGCTCACTTTGTAGTCCAGGATGGTCTCAAACTCGCAACAATTCTCCTGCTTCAGCCTCCCAAGTGCTGGGACTACAGGCGTGCACCACCACACCCGGCCAGTGTATTAAGGAATAATGACAAAAAAGCCTGTACATTTTGGTACAGTGAAATTTAAAAAAATATTTTTCATCCATGGTTGGTTGAATCCATGGATATAGAACCCACAGCTACGAGGGATGCCTGCCATCAGAGAAACTGGAAAAGTTATGTTTTCATCATGCATCCTCAGAAGATTATATCCCAATGAAAACAAAAACTGCAAAAGGGTCTGTCTAAAGTCAGGCGTGGTAGCACATGCCTGTGATCCCAATACTCGGGAGTCTGAGGCAGGAGGACTGTTGCAAATTCGAGGCCAGCCTGGGCTACAAAGTGAGCTCAAGGCCAGCCTGAACTGCATAGTGAGACCCTGTCTCAAAAAGACCCCAAAAAAACAAACAAACAAAAAAAAATGGTCTGTCTAACCCAGCAGGGCAGAGGACGTAGTTCAGTGGTGGACTACTGCCTAGTATACATAAGGCCCTGGGGGGAAAAAAACCCTGATGTCAAATTTGGACTGGAAATTATGTCTTTTCTAAAATATGATGTTCTGGGCTCTGACTGTGGGGAGGTCTAGCAGCAGAAGTGACCTAGGGACCCTAGCCCCTGACTAGGATCTCTAAATGCCTCCTGCCATGGGGACAAGGCCCTATATGACTTAAATGGCTCACACACAGAACAGAGTGTGATCAAAGGCAGTGTGACAGGGAGGGCCATGCAGCACGGGAAGGCTGTGTGCCCCAGAGGGAAGATGCCCATCACCCACCATCCGGGGTGCTCACAGGAGCAGTGGCTCTGTCATGGCGGTATGCAAGCCCCTTGACGGAACACACATTCTGGGGTGTAGGCTCCATGTGGAGCCCAAGGAGAGCTGACTGCTCACATTCCCCGCATGGCCCTTCCCGGATGGGGCTCCCTTGCTCCACTCTCCCAGCCCCCAGAGCTCCTCTGAGGCCTTTGCCACCCTCTACACTGCACTCCTGCAGGCAGGCTCTTTGCATCACATTCCTCTCCTGACAACAGCTTATTTGCACGGACAGGCTACAGCCACATGTCCCCAGAATCCAACAGTACGGCCCCAAGTGGATGCTGTGTAAGCAGCAAGCCAACCTAGGGCCAGCAGCAAGAATGTGAGCACTCACACCCTGGGCAGGGTCTTAGGGTCCATACCTGCAATTGCTCGCCAGGCACCAGCCCAAGAAATGAGGGCTGGCAGCCAGATCCCTTAGCTGCTCTACGCTGCAGGCCTTGGCTCGTCTTCTCCATATGCCCCCAGCTTTAAGCCTTCAGCAGCGAGGGAGGAGTTGGGCTTTGGGGCAGTCTCTGAACCACACTGTGCACATCCTTAGGCACAAATGAAGCCTATCCTGCTTTTGGGTGCAAAGGCCAGGAGGGGCGGGGTGGGGGCAGTCCCTGGTGGTGTAGGCATGGCTGCCTCCTGCCGGGCACCATACAACTCTGACCCTGCAGAGAGGGTAGCATTCAGACCTCATCACTTATGCTGTCAGCTGTCAGTGGAAGTGACTTTTGCCTCAAATCTAGGTGATTTTCAGCTCCCGGGGGCTCAGAGTGATTCCCTCAATGGCAAAGGTGATTTGGTGTTAAAGGCATAGTTCCCACAGCTCTTAGCAGCTTGGACAAACCAGAGTTCATTGAGCAGCAGCCAGGAAGTGGGTGGCGCCCACCTGAACATCTGGAAGATGAAGCCCCATGAAAAGGAAACCTTAAGTCTCCAGCTGCTGCCTAGAGCAAGACGTCAAAACACAGAGGCTCCACTAAGCCAAGCCACTCAAGTTTGCAGGAGGCCGGCTCCAGCTTCTTGGCGCTACTCAGCCACAGGATCCTGATGCTAGGCGGGCTGGCACCAGTCAGGATCAGCCTAGACGTGGGAGGTGCAAAGCCGCATCAGAGCAAGGGGCTGGAGCCATGTGGGTAGGGCTGAGGTACACAGGAGGGGGCGAAAGTCTCTGTTGGTCTGGACTCCTCCCCAGGCCCACC